GGACCGTGAGCTCACCGTGGCCCGAGCTCACCATCGTTCCTTCGTGCTTCCCTTCCTTCACATTTTCTTTCCCATGTCCCGTAGATGCTTTTACACTACCCTGCCTAACCACTACACCTCTGACATCGCCGGCATGTGAGCCTCGTCGGAGTGAGCTCCACCGCCACGTGGGCATGCCCGCGGCCAGGCTTCCCGAGCTCACTAACTAACCCTAGAGTAGCATGAATAGCTTCGCCTGAGCACCGTGATGCTGTAGCGCCTCTCACTGGGACCTACCATGGCCAAAGATAGTCGGTGCACCGCCATGCAACGTCACCGTGTTGCCATGGCCGGCGTCGAGCCAGCTCCGGTGTGCTCGCGCCCTAACCACCTACCTATATCGACGTGGGAGAAAGAGAAGATCATCACGGTGGGGTCGGTTTTGTCAGAGAGTTCACCGTCGACGAGCTAGAGCCGATCGATCGCCATTCCCTGTCTCTATGCAGCTACCATGTGGGGTCCGCTGACAGCTGGGTCCTGCATGTCAGCGACTGTAGTTCTAGGTTTTGTTATTTCTTTTCCTGATTTTTGTGCTAACTTTGGAAAATGATATCTAGGGATAGGAGTGTACTATTTGAGTGAACCAAATTTTGTTGGGTTCCTCATGAAGTGTAGTATTTGATAAAAATATGAAATGCACTATTTCTTGTATTTTTCTAGGTGAATAAAATAGAGTTTGATAAATGCTTTTAAATGGTTTCAATCTTGTAAAATCTATAATTTGAGATAGGAAAGTGCTAAAAATGTGATTCCAATTTTGTTAGTCTTGTATTGTTATGTACTACCTGGGAAAAATATTGTTTGCACTGTGATCTTGCTAGAAATAGGAGTGTGCTATTTTTCATGGTAAAAATATGTGTCCATTAAGCATGAAACTTTTTGTACAGTGTTATTGTGCTATGATGAAGCTAAGAAAAATATGAATACTATTGTTTGACACCTTTTAATAGGATTTTATATTTATGCTATTTTAAGCCATGCTGGCTTGTCATTTTTGTGTAGAATGATATACTTGTTCAAATGATGTCAAATTTATACAATATCCTATTGGGGACATGTATAAGCTACTGTAATGTTTGTGGAATTTTCTGTACAATTTTGCTTTGTGTTTATTATTTAACCTAATTATCTAAATAAATTAATAAAGGCATGAAAATAATTTATTTAGGAATGGCCACTATGTTTTCTAGTGCTCATTTGATGTATGTTAACTGTTGGTAATATTGGTAGTGGTCAAAGTACTATTCTTGTATGTAGTGAAATATTATTTTCACTATAACTCACTTATAGCGACTTTCTGGACAGATTTTTGAGTTAAGTAAATTACATGGTGAAGATGATGTTTGCTATGAATCTTATCTAGAACAAAGTTGTAGCTCACTAACTTAGCTAGATTGTGTTAAATGTTCATGGCATTTGGCCAAATAGTTTGTGAGTTATGACTGTTCAAAGTTGGTCTTCAGAACTTGTAGTTCTCTGGAATTTCTGGACCAGATTTCATAAATGTGCTAGTTTGACCTTGTTAACTTGGGAATCATGCTGAGATGTTTAAACATGAATTGTAGACAATTTCATAAGATTTCCAGATTGTCTTGTTTCATGTCTTTTGGATGTCTACAACTCCAGTTATGAGTTAAACTAGCAGCTGCTGTTTGCAGCCTTGAATCTGTGAATGCCGTGAATGACTTGATTGCTTTATATGAGTTGATGTGATGATTTAGAGGCTTAGGCTAATTAACATAAATTGTTAGTTGCAGATGCTAGACCTCTTACTGAAGATGAACAACTTTATCTTAGGTTGTTAGAGCTTGGTGAGTGGGTAGTTCTTGCTTTCATGAAAAGATATGCATCTACTCAGTAAAATAAATATTAATCTTGAATCATCATGTCATTCATGTGTCCATCTTGACAAGGCTGTACATTTCATCATCACCTTCCATCTCTTTTGCATGCATCACTCTTATGCTATGCATATGCATGCAATAGGTGTTCCAGAGGGAGTCACGCTTCTAGAATTCAAGCAAGGACTTCCGGAGGAGCAGTAGCAAGCTCAGGATCAGGAGGTGCAGGCCCCAGAAGAAGGAGCCAATGAAGAAGAAGTCCTTGAGTGTCCCGATCACCAACCTTCCTCATTTCTGAAAGACAAGCCCCGGAGCATTCTAAGCCTCCTATGTTTTTTATAAATATCACTTGAGCTCTTTATGTTTGATGCATTAGGTTATAAGAGTTGATTGGAACCACTTGATGCATAGAACTACCTTGTCTAGAAATATACCTTGAACCCTATGCAGGTCTAGGATCGAATGTATGCTTAGCGATGCTTAGACCGGTAGAAGTCGGGTGATTTCCTGTCACGTACGAGATATAGGTGGATACCAAAGCACGGTTGGCTATATTTGCTATCATGGAAATAACCATGTATTGATAATAAATGGAGACCGGGCAAGATGTCGATAGAGAAGCAACCAAACATGGAGGTCTTGGGTGTGGATCTATCCCTGTCTGTGTTATTTAAGGACCGATTCGTTGTATGTCCTCATGTCATGTTGAACGCATGCCTATCACTTAGTTGGCCGGATAACTTGTTTCGACCACGAAGCCGAGTAGCTCAACTCAGGCCAGAAGCCGAGAAGTGAAAGTGCGCACTCTAGCAGTAGTAAGGATGCGTAGGGAGCCATTAGTGTAAGTCCAAAAGGAGAAATTGACCTCCTGGTAGAGTGGATTCCATGAGATTGCGGCGCTGCGCGGACCCACGAATTTGTTCCTGAGTTGTACCAAAGGTGACCCGAGGCAACCATTGATCAGGTTGATTGGGTTTGTGTTAGGAATAATTCCCCAGCTGGGTAGGAATCAATTCGAATCGCTGTCTCTCCTGGATAGTGAGAAGTTGACTGAGCAACGGCAACGTAGAGACACTTAATTGAACTTGATGGTTAAAATGATGATGATGATGTTACAACATTATACCAGATATGGTTGCTAATGTTTGGAGTTTAATCAATTGCTTGCTCTAGTACAGGTGCTAATCTAGATGACAGGTTAATATTGATAACTTGCTGCTTAAATAATAATATAAATTATGCTCTTGTATCATTAAAGCTTTTATGCAAAATGGCTGTCAAGCGAGATCCACTGATAAAGCCTTGCATACTCCTTGGTGTCATTTATTTTTGGTTTACGACAGGTAAGTCTAGCTGAGTACATTCCTGTACTCAGGGTTTATTCCCTCTTGTTGCAGAAGACGTGCTTTATAATAGCTACTGCAAGTATTGTCTCCACCCTACGGGGGAAGAAGACTAGATCATGGGCATGATCTTCTATGTTATCTTATCATGTTGCTTTTGCTCGATATGACTATGGAACTGGCTTGTATTTGAACTAAGTGTGTGTGATGGTCTCAAACTACTTTGCTTCCACTATTTGTGAACTCGTGTTGTAATAACTATGTGAACTCCGATGTTTGAAGTTCTTGTGAACTACTTGTGAAATGGATGTAACATGTGGCTTGTTATGTTGAATCACTATGATGTTGGTTGTATGCAAGTTGGTTTGAAATCCTTCATGATTTCAGTTGACTACCGGGTTTATATGGGTTCAAGTATGATGATTTGATCACTCCGGTGATTGCTTTCGTACATGTGCTCTTATAAATTGGTCTGTTCTGTTACACATCACATATAGCATGGACCGTAAAAAAGTTTATGTCATCCCTGTCCATGTCTTTCGGTATGGTAGATGTACAGTTAAAAAAGAGTTTATCTATAGACCATACTATCTTCCTTTTTGTTCCCTTGTTCTTGGATTCATTAGCAGAGCAGTAAATAAAGCTGTATTTGATGTATCTCTCTGTCATGCATTTTAAATGGACTAGTGTTGTTTGTTTGTCTATGGACATGTTAATTTCCTCAATGATGGATGTTGTCATTATTTTAGCTAAACTAGTGTGCCACTACTATAGAAAGCTAATCACTGCTGGCTCCAGAACCCTCATTACCGACTATTGTGGCCCCTGTTGGTGTATGTCTGCGGTGATCGATGACATTTATCTCTGTCGGTTGCGCACCGGTGGTGATGGTATTTTACCACAATCGGTCCAGCATACTATAAGGCGGTGATGGTGTCATACAACCGCCGGCCCAGCGTACGATCCGGCAGTGATGGTGTAACCATCGACGCCGGGCTAGCGTACCATTCGGTGGTGATGATGCATCCATCAATGCTGATCTAGCGTACCATCCGGTAGTGATCGTGTAACCATCAACGCCGGTCCAACGTATGATTCAGCGATGATGATGCGTCCATTGACGCCGGTCCGGCGTACCATCCGACAGTGATGATATAACCATCGATGCTGGCCGACGTACCATCTAGCGGTGATGATGTAACCATCGATGATGGCTAGGCGTACCATCTACGTTGGCCCAGCTTACCATCCGGCGGTGATGATGCAGCCATCGATGCTGGGTTGACGCACCATCTAGTGGTAACGATGTGCCTATCATCGCTGGGTCATCGTACCAACCGGCGGTGATAATGGACCTATCAATGCTGGACCGGCGTACCATCCAGCTGTGATGACGAGACATCAACGTCAGTCCAGCGTACCATCCATCGGTGATGTAGGTGCCATCGCAAGTGGTTGGTGTTCCTTCCGACGGTAATGAGGGCTAGCGTCATCGCCGCCGTTTTGTTTGTTCCGGTAGTAATGTTGTGTCCATTACCACCGACATTACCACTGTGCATCATTATTGTTCACAATACATTATAGCACCAACAATACACACATTTCATGGCTTACGCATCGCTAGCAACATATATAGATAGAGACAATGTATTGTATCCAAACATACATCACTACCGAGACATAAATATCCATACAAAACGACAACGACAAACATAGTTTTCAAACACTGGCATCCAACAACAGCGAATATATAGTTTTCAGAACACTAGCACCTTGATTAGAGAAGGTGATAGACTCCCTTAGGGTTCATGACTTTGTCTATAATGGAACCAGAAAGATCTTCTTGGAACCCAGATATCTCCAAATCGGTCTGCCCCGGTGTAGATGACACTTCAGTCTGGAACACATGAAAATGGTGAAACACAGTTAAGAAAAGCTTTGCTACAGACTCAAAGTATGTCCTGAGGTCATCCAAATTTCTAAAGGGGCTGAGGGGCCAAACCTGTGAGCCAGAGAGAGCATTGACGAGGCTACACATGTAATTCATGACATAGAACCCATTGAGATCATTGCCCGCAGGATGCATTGGGATCGAACCGGCTGATACTACTCGAAACATAGATCTGCCAAGATCACGATGTTTCTTAGACCTTGATTTGAACTTCTTGTAGGCTTTGTGCGACAAGTTCATGATAGCGACATAAGATGATCAAAGCTATGTAACAAATAATCTTATCGTTGCCAATTTAGTACTAGCTTGTCTTACTTTTTCAGCGCCTCAATGAAGGGATGGATGTTCTGTCGTTGGCTCCCTCGACTGTCATAAACATTGACAATGGTCCTCTCTATGCTGATGTTAAGAAGGGCATGATGGTCGCCGCTACGTTCACAATGCCGCCGCCGGTTCCAATTAGGTTCAACCCTCAAATATGTAATGGAGTAGAAAATTAGGCATTTACAACAAACTTACATGCAATTGTAGGATATAAGTATGCTGCAGGATTTGTTGAGATGGAAGCTCTTTGCTAATTCATCGATAGTGCTGGTGTACTTTAGTGTCCCGTGATTGCAAACCACTAGGTTCAAGAAGCCTATTTGAATCCATTGCATACTGCAGAAGTCAGCCTCCTTCCTACAAAACAATGTGTAGTTGTTAGAAACTCAACTCGGAGCTATAAAATGCATGGTGTACTAACTAGACTTACATGGTCCACAAGCTCATGATATGAATTTCTAGGGCCAACTTTTGGTAAAATTGAGACAATGCCTTGAACTAAATCCACAATGAGTCATCTTTTCCCCTGTACAACTGTTTATCCAAAAGTCTTGCCCCAAACTGAACACTAAGTTGACCTTTGTACCAATTACAAACCTCCCGCCCTCTCGGTCCTAATTTTAGGAATTCTTTGGGAGCTAGCAGATCACCCCTAGCTTGAAAGTACCATACAAGTGGCGCCTCCTCTCTATCCCATCGAAGCTCAGCATCTGGAAGTTCTTCCTCTGTCATTGTGTTTTCTTGCAAGTTCTGAGATGGTTGAGTTGTAGTCCTAGTATATGGACCGCTCTTGCGAGTCTTTGGTCATAGCGGTTCCTCTGTGGATGTGTTTTCTTGCAAGTTCTAAGATGGTTGAGTTGTAATCCTAGTAGATGGACCAGTCTTATGAGTCTTGGGTCGTAGTGGTGATGAAATACTTGGTTCCCTGTATTGGTGCGAGTCTTCTGAGTTTTCATCATCTGAGCCAAAGGATATGTAGCGCTTGTGCCAAAAAACTTGGCAACCCAAGTTCTCCCCTAGTGTCTTCCTATCTTCATCCTTTGGGTGATCCAACTCAACTGCATGGTACCTGGTCTTAGTTACTACATCAATGGTCACCTTGAGTACCCTATAGGCAACATATGGTTCTACAGCACATCCCCTGCTTTGCCACAAGGATATGCAAGACCTTGCGCCACCTTGGTCTTATAGAACTTCTCCTACACATATAGGTTGGAAGGTATTGGCTCCTTGATCTTATCAACAGGGAACATGAGACATGCATCATCAAGAGGAAGCGATGTGCTTCCACAGCTACTCCATACTCGGTCTAGGCTGATGACCCCAACTGCAACATCCTCATCTGGTGCCGAAGGACAGTTCTTCATTCTCTCCTCAAGCTCTTGAAGAAAATGTTGATTGTTTTCTTTCATTTCTTGTCGAACAACCTCCATCAAACGTTGCATCTCCAATTCTCCTCATATGACTTCTATACGTGGAGATGTCATCTAGGAAGGAAAGCTCCCATGGAAAAAGTCTGAACCCTCATGTATGACCAGCTCTTTGTTTCCCAGTGCCCGGGTCAGCTGATCATTCTCCCTATTAGGCTTGAAAGTACCATTAGCAACTTCCTCATGGACCGCCTTCACCCTTTGTGCTAGTTCCTCGGTTGCAGAATCCTGATAACTTAGGGAGCCATCTGGGTTGAAGGTAACCCCCCTCCCAAGAAGGAACCATATAGAGCGAGGATCCCAGTCAGATGTACAGACCGTAACACCACTCTAGGTCAGCTCCTCCCATTCCCAATCTCAGATTTTCCTCCCATAGACACGCGAGCCGGTGCAATGTGGCATGCATCCTATTTTTGCAGGAGTGGATCGTATTTGCCTCACTCTATTCCTTTATCTCATCCGATTCCTTCCAACTCACAAAATCACTCAATACTCTTGCTGATGTGGGTATTTATGCCATTCTAGCTCGATGCCCTTCTTTACATAGTTTTTGTTCAGGTAGTACCTAAAATACTTGAATGGGTTGCCCATGATAAAGAATGCCCTCTCCTTTGTAACCTCTTCATCAAATCTAGCAGGAAACTCAAATAGGTCCTTCAGCTTCTACCAGCAAAGTTCGATCAAACTGGATGGAACTACCCATTCGCTATCCTTTTTATGCTAGTACCTATACTTGATGGGTATGTTTGTAACACCCTAGTGTTAAGCATTGCATTTGGCACTTGTATTTCATGAGCACAAGCATCATCCCTGCATTCATGAGCATGAGCATATGTAATTTCATCTTATTCTTTACATATTAACACATGTGATGTTGATTATATACATGCATATGCTTGTGATCATGTGTGACTAATGCAAGAGATGGTTGAGAGGTCACAAAAACACCTTAGACATATCTAGGATGGTAAATGGAACATTGTTTTGTATTCATGACCTAGCCCAAATTTGCTTCTAAGTGTTGGTTTACTTTGAAATGCCTTTTTCATGACACTAGTTTGACCAAAGTTGAACAATAGCTTAGAGAGCTTGCATGGCTGACCTTAATAAAAGTTGTAGCTTATCTTATGTGGATCAAACTTTGTTTAAGGGTCATGAACTAATTCAGTGCCTAACATGGTCAAATAGGGCCCACAAGAATCAATCAAATGCTGTTTTAGGGACTTGTGAAATTTTCTGTCTTTAATGACTTCCAATTTCAAATTATACCACTTTAGAGCACTATAGTTTGAAAACCAGTGAAAATTTGGCAATGCTTCTTAAAGCTAAGTTGTAGTACCCACATAACTCTACAACTTCTATTAATGATATTTGTGCTAATTCTACATGGATTAGGAGTAACAATGGCACGAAGATGGCTTGGCAGTCGGCCTGATGGCCGATTTGAATTGGCCGGCCGAGCGCGTCATGGCTGACCGCTGCTAGGACATGCGCACCACATGGTGGCCGCTCGCCGGCGTCGGCTCGGCCGGTTTGGCTAGCAGAGGGAGTAAAGAGAGGCGCAGCTGCTGCTCTCTCCCATTCCCACTCTCTCGCCATGCCTCTCTCGCTCTTGCCCTCACCATTGCCGAGCGGAGGAAGCCGCTGTCGCCACCGCCACACCACTGCCGTGCTCATGCGTCATCCTTGCTGCTCCTCCATCCAATCCATCATGCACATAGCTCCACCAGCATCTCCTCTATCGCCCTGACCCACCATTGTAGCCGTTCGAGCAAGGGTAAGGCCGCATTGCGCGTTGCCATCGCCACCATGGCCACGGAACACCATCGAGCTCTGAGCTCGCCCATGGCCAGCCATAACCGTTGCTCCTCTAACCTTCCCCTTCCTCGATTACTCATCACCATAGGGTCTAGATGCTGAGGCCGTAACCCATTAAACCGCTACCGCCAGCACCGCGTGGGAACATGCCACCACACTGAGCACGCCCGCCATGGCCACGAGCTCAAACTTGCCGCGGCCAACCCTAGCTAGACCCCGTCATCCCCCTCTAGCATGTGTTTCTACAATGCCATGAACCCTAGCACAATCCCCATTTTGTCGGAACGGTGACCTCACCGTCGCCATGCTCACGCCGTCGTGTCGCCATGCATGTGGTCGGAGCTCACCGCCGCTTCACCGTGGCTCGATCCGCATCGTAGAGCTTTGCTAGGGTTTGTAGAAGCTGTAGCCACGCTCGCCTTGCCGTGCCATTGTCGAAGATGGTGAGTCTGCCACCACGCACCACTGTCGAGCCGCCATGCTCGCCAACGAGGTTGCTCCGGTGATGTGTCAAGCTAACTGAGGGTACCCCTCGATGCGGCTTGATGAGGCGAGTGTAGTGGTGAAGACCTCACCGCCAATGACCTCGCCATCGGTGAGATTTCACCGGTCAAACCACCACCCCTGCGCTGGTCTCACTAATGGGTGGGACCCGTTGACCCATGGGTCCCAGCTATCAGTCAGTGTTTGAAATATTTTTCTTGATTCATTTTCACAGATTTGAATGCAATCTTGCAAAAATCATATCTTGAGCTAGGAGTGTCCAAATGGGGTGATCCAAATTTTTTTTGATTCATCACAAAGTGTACTATTTGATGAAAATATGAAACCTACTGTTTGGGGTATTTTTTTAGGGGAATTAAATTAAGCTAGTAAAGTGCTTTTAAATTTATTTCTATCCTGTAAAATGCATAACTTGAGCTAGGGAAGTGCTCAAATTGTGATTTCAATTTTGTGGGTCTTGTGTTGGCATGCTCTAGCTAGGAAAAATACTAAACCTATAGTGGGCATACTTGGAGTATGGTCTTCCTATTTAATCTTAAATAATTGCTTGTTTCTAGTGAAAATAAATGGGGTAAAAATACCTAACTTATGATCATGCAAATTTCTACCTAGTGTTCTTATGCTAGGATGAAAGTAAGAAAAATATGAAATCTGTTGTTTGACACTTTTCACTAGGCTAAACTATTTTTGTTAAAATAAGCCTATGCAACTTGTCATTTTTGTAGAGGTTGCTATGCTTATTCAAATAGCATGAAAGTTGTACAGTAGACTATTTGGGTCATATGTAAGCTATTGTAATTTTCTCAGAATTTATTGAGCATTGAAAATATTTATTCTTTAAATCACCTATTATATAAGGAAATTAATAAATGCACATAAGTAAATTATTTGGGCTTAACCATGATGTTTTCTATGGTGCTTGTGATGCATATGATGTGTTGCTAAAAGTAGTTGTGCTTGGAATTAATTGGTTATAGACAGCTAGTTAATTATTGCTTTATAATTCAATAAATGGCTGCATGAGTAGTTTCTGTTGTGTTACCAAATTCATGATGATAGTGACCTCTCCTATGAAACTTGTTAATAACAAAGTTGTAGATAACTTACTCATCTTGCTCGTCCTAAAATTTCATGGTCATAGGCCTAATGGTTTAAATGTTATAGCTGTTAGAAGTCTGCTGTCAGATTTGCTTGTCTTCTAGATAGATCTGAAAGAGTGAATTGTTTGATCTAGATAGCTACTAAATCATCTGAAGATGATCATAATAAAGTTGTAGGAAATTTTATTAGATTTCTAGAAAGTTCAAGATTACATTTTTTGGATGTGTGAAACTCCAGTTATGATCAAAACAAGTGGCTGCTATTTTGTAGTCCAGAAATTGCTTAAATGGAAATTTGTTTAATTACTAGAGAGGAGATATGCACCTACTCAGTAAAAGAAAATTTATCTTGTTATCATTTTAATACATTGCTATTAAGGACACTTATGAGTATGCATTTTATCATATCATATCATCCATGTTATTATCTATGCATCCATGATATCTTATTTCATGCTCATACATATAGGATCGCTCGAAGGAGTAACCCTACTAGAATTCGAAGAAGAGGTGGAGGACAATCAGGAGACACCCCAACCCACAGCTCTCGAAGGAGAGGAGCCAGCCACTGATGAACTTCTGGAGTGCCCTGACCATCGACCCACTTCTTTCCTGAAAGGCAAGCCCCGGAGCATTTTAAGCTCCTATGTTTTACAAAATATCACTTTAGTCCTTTATGTTTGATGCATTAGGTTGTAAGAATTGGTTTGGAAACACTTGATGCATAGAAATACCTTGTCCAGATATATATATACCTTTAACCCTATATAGGTCCTGGATCGAATATATGCTTAGCAATGCTTAGACCGATAGAAGTCAGGTGATTTCCTGTCACCTGCGAGATATAGGTGGATACCGGAGCATGGTTGGCTATATTTGC